GAACAGTGGAATCCCAAATCATAGCGATGAACCGACTTGGGTTCTTTGAAATTTGTCACAAAGAGAAAGGTGGTTAAAGAAGCTCATCCCTTACTTGTCTATCGTAGAGCCAAGCAAACGTAAATAGACATGCGTGCAATGTTTTTAGAGACATCCGTTGTGACGAATTCCAATGCTTGGAGTCCCCTGCTTTTGAGCAACTTATAAGTAACAGCTCAGTTTAAAATACTTCAAGAAGAACAAAAAATCACAAAACATGCATGAAAGAATCAAAATGGTCACAACATCCTTAAAATTAAGATAAATTACTTTGATATAGGTTAATTTCTTTAAAAAGAAACTCTTGAGACGAGTGCGTACACAAATTTATTACTCTGAATTGTCGTAAAAACACAGCCTTTTGAGAAAACCCTGCTCCTCTTCGGTGTTGAATAATTAATTGCCAAGAACATATTCAGACTGCGATAAAAGTTACCTCGTGTGAAAATGATGTTTTATTAAAGATCTTGAAAATTAAAGTGTGAAGTTAATAGAAAAAGATACAGAGTCAGCTAATTGTGGATTTTAAAATGATATGAAATGCGGGGAAATGAAACATGATACCAAGTTGAATGATTCAGTTTTTCACGCCATTTTGAAACTTTGTAGGATGACAGTTTGTTCAAGTATTAAAACAGTAAATTTACGATATATAATGCATGCTTAGTGTGTAGAGCACAGTTGCTTAACAATAATCTTGAAAATATAAAATGCAGAATCTTTATCTCTCTAGGTAAAGGTACATGTTAGTTCCGTATTCGATATCGAACGTTTGGGGAATAGAGCTGTTAGGGGCGCTTCATCCTGAGCGACGACGTTGTGATAGGGTGGCCAGTTCCATGCCGCTTCTTACCTCCCGAGTATGTTTCAACTCATTTTCAGCTGAGTTAACTGAGGGCCGTCTGCAAGCCGGGATCGAACCCGGAGCGCTGGCATGGCAGTCGAGCGCCATGAACCACTAGGTTTGTGAACATTTTTGTCATGGCAGTCGAGCTAAAAAGTAGAATTTACTGATCTGAGTTTAAAGCCCGTTTTGAAGATATCATAGAATACAGGCGAAAGACCGTTATTGTTAGCCGCCAACTCTTGCTTTCACTTTAAAACGTGACGTCATTCGATCATTTTATTCGGCACCTTACAGCATCGAAATACCATTCCATCATCATTATAAACATTTGATCTAAGATTCAAATAAACTGGCAGAGATCAAAAGAATGAGATAAAACCAATATTGTAAACATTAGGCCGCAATTTGCTGAGATGAAAAATAGCCTTAATCATTTCCGCCTATAAAACATTTACTTACTTGCTCGACGCTTCTTCAGCAAAAAAGTTGTATGTTTTGGAAGAATAGCCAAGCCTTTATAATCTATAACTGGAGTTTCGAAAGCATCTGTTTTGTGATGAGTTTCCAGAGGCCGAAACAATGTTCTTTATTCTTTATATTAGCAAATTCTTTGTTAGACTAGATAAATGAATAAAAATGCGAAAAGTCCAATGTTGTGTTTAGTTGTCAAAATCTAGCTTCTCTGAAATGCATTCTTTATTAGACCATCTTGCTGCGAGTTTAATTAGGCTTAAAAATCCATAGCAGTGGCAAATACCTTCCTTCCTTTCAGCAAAGACTTATAAATAATTCAGAGCAAGGAATACTGATTAAAAACTGAGCAACGACCTTAAGAAGAGCATCCATAATTTATGCAGAAATCTGGGTGTTTAGAATTCGGCAGTTTAAAGATAAGTTGCTTTGATTTAAACCAGTATGAACAAGAATCTATTCCTTTAATTTCTTTTTAAACGTGTTTTAAAGAAAGAGACAGAATCTATGAATGCTACATTCTCAAGGATACGTGAAACAAAAGAGAGAAATGTGCTGTTCACTCAATAACTCGTTTATAAATTGTCTTTTGTTCTTGAAATGCGACTTGTGTTTTTTCATTTGGCCTTTGAATATCTGCTATTTATGAGCAAACTTACAGACAAATGTTTGGCGTTCAGAGTAATAGGCATTAAGGTAGGTCTATGTCGTGTAGCCTCAAAAAGTTGATCACAAGTCTGAAAACCAACCATCATTTCGCAACCAAAGATTTATTTATTATAAAACTCAGAAAATCAAGCACCATCAGAATAATCAGAGAAGATGCTTCAATATGTAATTAAAATTTGAATATAATTAAATTCAATAGTTAAAAAAATCTATAATGTATTTGAATGTTTTTCATTAATCTCTAACATGGACCATAAATCTCTACCAGGCCTTGCTTCATTCAAAAGACAATTTAATGCAGAAAGTGTGGAATCTATTGGAAACAGTCAAAGTATGGATTTTTTGGATATTCACAATATTAATAAATTTCTCTTCCTTACTCAATATGATTAAGCTGGACTGGCAGCTATAGAGCAATTTAAAGTTAGTACTGTGATGTCTCTTTCCTCATATGAAGACATCTGAAGGCCTATGCTGAAGTTTGTGTTATCATATTTCGCTTTCTCTCTTTTTATGGTAAGGACGGAATCATTTTCAGCTGCGCCATCGATGCGTTGTCTATTGAGCGTGAACTGTGCTGGAATCATATTTATCGACGTCATTAAAAAGCAATCAAAATTGCTCATCATGGAACCTTACGACAGAGAAAGCAACGAGGCAACCGCGTCAATGCGCTCAGTTCACTGAGATTCTCTGTACGTCGATTTAAGCCAATGCAAATCGCAAATGACTTGAGAATTTCATCTGTCGAGGAAACTAGGAGTTGACTACAGACATGTCTGTTCAGGCGTCCAAAAACCCCTAAAACATTTGACAGTAACATTCGCGAATAGATAATATTTATGCAGCTGTTACGTTTTCAGGAGCCTTATTCATCACATTTCTAATAGACCCACTATAACTAGTTTATCTAATTAACATTCGGCGCTGTAGCATTTAATAGCATTTGCTTTCTGCTCATATCTTCTTGGTTGTTTATTAGTCACCAGTGAGATAGATTTTAATAAAAAACTTGATAATGCGTTATAAGATGAATGTTAGAGTTAATTTAGGGTCATGCAATAGATTTGAAAGCTTTGCTCTTTAAGTGCAAAAATGAAGGGTTACTGAAGATTTCCGTGGATTTGCTTATTTGGTAGCTTACCTTTCAGGTAAAGGTGACGCCAAGCACTTTCTATATAAATATTTTACAATCCCTTGAGTTGCAAGGATGGCTCAGTGCTTAGGGCCCCGACTACAGGTCCAAGGGTTGGTTGATTGAGTCACTTACATAGCCAAACTTTCAGTTTAAGCCTAGCTTTACTTGAGTTCGTGCGACTTTCGTGAAGACGAATCGACAAATCACCGTGTCAGCAAACGCGACCAATCGCACAGTGGTTATGGTATGGTTACATTGAGAAGAAAGACCAGGGTACTGCTCGATAAGCGCAGCTTCTCAGTGTCCTAAAAACTACCTTAGAAACTAGGTCGTAACAAATTCAACATATATCTTGTATATAACTGTTGTGGACTGTCTTATATCGGAACAACATCAAAGCGATGCATTTACAACCAATTTTGAAATATAGATATTGATGCTGCAATTCCTTTTCGCTGTTGTAAACTTGTTTCTCAATGAAACACATTCACTGAATCAGACTTAAGACATTTTTAGGTTGAAATGAGAAGCAAGTGAACCTTCGAAGCCATTAAAATCGTATGCAAGAAATCGGCACTAAATTTTGATACAATATATTACTTGGCAATTTTTTAATGATGCATTAAATATGAGGTTTGTCTGACATAATGGTTAGATTGCGAATTGTTTTCATTTGAGAGAGACAAACAATACACACCCAAAGTTCAGTAATTTGACCGTCTCTTAATTCAGATATCACCTATTCAATATGGAAACTCGCCCCTTTACATTATCATTGCAATGCATTTCCTAAAAAACGAATGTTCTAATTATAAAAAGTAATCTATCTTGGAAATTGGTCTAGATAAGATTTTTCAGTTAAAATATAACTTTGATAGCTGTTACTAATAATCGTGCTCTGTCTCAAAAAACAGATAAAAAGAAATTTTCTTGTCTGCGTTGTTATGCCTGGCAACATAAGGAAACCGGCTGCTAATTCTCATGTTGTCTTTTCCATATATTGCTTCTGAACAAATACCATAAAAGGAGACTTTTTGTTAGAAGAGTACTTTCAGTAGATGTCTTGAAATCTTTGCTCCAAGAATATTTGTTAGAAAAAACATTCATCACGGAGAAAATTTAGTCGTGCTGCTAAAATTTATCTACCATTTTTCTATCTAAGCAAAATTAAGAATACTATGATTGGAAATTATAACATTATTTAGAGCATGCTAGTAAATTGGCTTGACATTAGGGTGTCTGATCGCCCCAGCTATTTTTTATTACTTTCTTTCTTGCAAAACCTGTATGATGTGGAAATATTCAATCACATGTCGATAGAATAAGCAATTGAGCGATATAAAGAGAGAATTATTTCTTTTCAGTTTTTAATGGAAGAAACTGCAGAATTTACTCGATCTGAAGTACAACGGCTTTTCATTGATCTGGATAATCTTTTATGTAGACGATTCATTTCGTGGTCAGTTTATAACATTTTCTCTCTTACTTTCTGAAACCCTACAGAAATAATACAATGAGGCTTCGATCAAAACATCTTGCTTTGAATGTTACGGCAAAAATGCTTTAAGAATAAAATTTTACCTCAAAAAATGAGAATATCAAAGTTGCCTATTTTTCTAAGCAACACATGAAAGTTTACTCTGAATATATCATTAGTAACAAATATGCTGTGTGTAGAATTTTCATTTTGAGTTAAAAATTCCCAAATCTTAAAACACTTGACGAACGTACCTAAGCCAGTCTTTTCCGAACAGCCTTCTCAAAGCAAAATTTAAGCCATTTTATGTATAAAATGAGTCAAAGTTTGAAGTTTCTTCACAAAACTCACATTTTGAATAGAAAATCTAAAATATGGCATTTTAGTTCTTGTTTTGCAAGTATATAAAATTCACTTTTAAAGCATTGTACCCTTAAAAGATTATTTGAATAAAGTTGATTGAATCAAAATTATGTTTGCTAATACTAAACAAGGCTTTTAAGGATCCAGGGGTAAGAATGTTTTTTCAACGACACATTTTGGATATTTTTCAACGAAGCCTCTTTAAACAACTTTGATCAACTCGAACAATTTTTCAATAGCAGACAAGTTACAAGCAAATCATTTTTTCAAAAAACGTTTGAATTTTCCTCTTGTCAGAGGCTTTATCTCAGCAAAAAAGACCAAGAAAAAATGAGATGAATGAGTTTATGCAGTTTTCAACATTAATCAAAATATTGTACAGATAGTTAACAACAACAATCAATACTTCATACAATAAAGGTATTATGATGATAGCAAATTTTATTTGCAATAGCTTTTACTTATGTTAAACGATATTTGATTACTTTCGTTTGTTGTCAGCTTTTAGGTTGATAAACGAAGTCAACAAATTTCAAAAAATAAAATTTCAATTAACTGTACATACTTATGCATTTAAGTGTTTATAATAGTTCGGAACACGATTTGGATTAAACCTTCCGTGAATTTGAAACCATCGGTTCATTTTAGAACAGTTTCACACGGAAGAAAAACTTTTGTGTGCCTTAAGAACATGTCTCTGCAGCCCTGGTAGACTATAAAATGCGCCCGAGCATTCGTTGCAGCTAAAAACTTCCCCGTTATGGATTCTAGCATGTTTCTCAAGTTCGAATCGACTTGCAAAACCATTTCCGCAGATGGAGCATGCAAACGCTTTTGGACCGACGGCGTGATTTAGTACGTGTTTGGCACGGTTTGTCTGGCTTCGGAAAATCTTGCCGCAATACTGACAAGGATATGGTTTTGCATTGTTATGGTAGTTCATGTGTTTGCGAAGATATGCTTGCCTTTTGAAGGTCTTACCGCATTGTGAGCATGCATATTTGTCACCGTCAGTTGCCGAATCTTTATCGATTAAATCGATCATACTGTTATTATTTTTGTCGACTGGACTTGGTATTCCCTCACTGCTTTCACTCTCCTCATCTTGCTTTCCGAAGTCAACATCTTCCTCGACTTTCACCATTAACCTCTGTTCTTTGTCTGCATTTTTGTTCTCTTCCTTGAGCGATGCTGTATTGCTTTCACCCGACGAACTGCGCTTTTGCAGTTTCATAGGCTTGTTAGACCCTGGCGATCTCGGTCTGTGCCATCGTCGATGCGATGCTAAGTTTGCCGGACAGCTGAAGACTTTGTCGCATTCAGGACAGCGATGCTCGACGTGCTTGATGCCTGCACACTTGTGCTGCGCCAGCGAGAATGCATCTTGAAACATTCGCTTACATAGCTGGCACAGGAAGCTGCTCTGAGATAGAGGACCCTTTACCGAAGGAACACTGTTGGGGCTCCCAGGATCATTACGCTGAAAATTCTCCTTTTCTATTTCTTTAGGTTTCTCGATATTACGATCATTGTAAATAACTGCAATTGGTTCGACTGGAGGAATTTTCCCCATCAAATTTCTGATATGTGCTCCCTCTTTTCTTACTAAAGGTGAATGAGAAGGTATTAACTTACTTTTAGGCGATTTTCGTTCTTGGAAAAAATCAGCAAACACAAATTTATCATTCTTTGCATGACTTGCAAACGATACGAATGCACTTTTTCCGCCTTCTTCCCATTCCTCCAAAGGATTTTGTTTTTCTTCCTTGTGGTGGACGGCTCGATCAAAATGCTGCTCATATCTTGACACAACGTACGGAGATACCCGCTTGTTTTTCTTAACTAGGAAAGATCTTGGCATCTTAAAGCTTGCAATGAGCCTCCAGGATCCTGTTCACTTGAAAATACGAAGATATGGCTGGCCTAGAACTTCTGCGACCTTTTGTTGAAAATAGAGATTCCAACAGAACATGAACTGAACAGTCAACAAATATTTAATTTGCTCTATATTGAGCACGCGTTAGTTGCCACACCGCAGCTAGTTTAAGGAAGAAGATGTCCAGAAGTGAAGATTATATCTATACGTTGCCTCTGTGAGGCTCTAGACTGATGACATTCCAATTTGAACCTAATGAGATCGTGATCACTTTTGAACTAGCTCGAAAACTTAGCTACCTGTCTTTAAACGATAGCTTGTTCTGAGCATGCGACAATTAGCAGCTGTGCTCACGTTCGAAATGCATACATACGGTTGTTAAGAGATAACTGTTGAATCGCCGGAATCATACAGGCCACACTGGGCATTGTGCACGCGCTATTGTTTTTATTCGACAAACCACGTGTTCTCATGAGTTCAAAAGACAGGGGGTGATGCTGCTTTGTTGAAACATATTGGTAAATGACTTTAAAACTCTTGTTTCTATGGTGATGGAGCTTGACGTTCGAGAAATGAAAACTCGTGTCAATTTAAGTGATACATCTAGTTATTGCAACATGCTTGGTAGTGTAAATTTCTTCAGAAAAACTGACAAAGGGTAACACGCCCTTATTTATTTGCAATATGACGATCTTAAGGAAAATACCAAAATACAATTCTTTTACATCTTTTAGCAAATTCTTCAGCATGTAAATGAAAAATTGCACACTTTGCTGGTACGAAATGTGTTTTGCCTTAGTAGAAATAAAGGCGGGTCTTAATTTGAAGAAAACTTAAGCTTCTTTAGAAGAATTTGTCTTCTAGAAGAAAAGAATTATCTTTGAATTTTCTATTTTCAATGACAACATTCATTCTCAAAATCATGGACGTCACACATTCGGCCATAAGAACAAATTTTAGATTTTCTTCATTCTAAAAAGCTTTCGAGAAATCATAATTTTTTATAACTGCGAATAATGAAAATTAAATTCCTGTAGCTGAAAGTGTTTAGTAAAGCTGGTGAAGTAGCTAAAAACTAAGCATGTTGAATCAAATAAGTCACAAATATGAGGAAATTTGAGAAAAATGATTTTGCTTAATTTCAGATATTTAAATTGTAAAGCATATATTCTTTAAAGAATAACTTTACAGTGTATTAAAAAACAAAACATTAGACTCAAAGGATTGAAACAAAACATTTTTATCTTACTGCTAAGAATATTGCTTTGATATAAAAAATTCTTAAATGTTTTTAGTTTTTGTTTAAGTTGAATTCAATATTTGATTTCAATATTTGATATTCAATATTTGCAATTTAATTATTAAGTGTTAAAATTGTTATTAAAAACATGAGCTAGTTGCAATGGTGTGATTGACTGCTGATTGTCATTCGTGAAAAATAGAAAGTCTTTGTTGAGATGCAGATGGTAGTTAATTGTGGATACAAAGTCAAATTTTGAAAAATTTCAATCTGAATGTCATTTCAAGGGTAAGGTAGTATTTTTAGCAACATTGCAATGCTTTCTGCATTGCATAAAAGTTCAAGTTCGCAAAGATTTTTGGTCAAGGTGAAAGAAAATTACATTTAGGTTTTTGAACCATTAATACGATTTCAACGGGAATATTTTTGTAAAAGGCAAACTTTAATTGTTGACTTTATATTGTTCTGTAGCAGAAAAGCATTGCTTGCTAACATACAAAAAACAAAAACATCATTATTTGACTTCCATTATTGTAAATATGTTCAAACATTTATTTTAATATTAAGCTGTCTATTAATAGCAACTTCACTATGCACTACATTCAATTACGTCTCGTTAGCACCTTCAAAGTAATGAGATCTTGTAAAGAAAGAAAATGGCGGAATAAAGAATTTCAATTTTTGATTACTAGCCAAACAGTTCCATTATGTGATTCATACGTGCTCAAAATCTTTTGGACTGCAGAAGATGGAAGATAAGAATCTTTTATCTTCTTGACTGCTCTTTTTTGCTGAAGTGCGTTTCTTCTAGAAAGGAATTAGGCTGTGAAACAATGTTTTTAATTTTTGATAAATGAGAAGCAGTTTAGAAACATACTTGTGTTTGCACGATTTTTTCACTTATGATCTTTTTTCTGCATTGTTCTCTGCTTTGCCCGAAAAGAATTTTATTTCAATCTAATCACACATAGAACACTCTACAAAGGTCAGACATAAATTTATTTGAAGTAAACAGTAATGTTATATATCAACTACTTGGACAGCAAGTCTTTGACAAGAATAGGCCATTTCATTATTCCATTTCCAAATATTTTTTCTTGATATTCTCAAAAATTTCGCTGCTAATTCCTTGCTAGTCACATTTTTTCCAGAATTATGTTTTCAACACTCTTTTTATTTGATATTTTGCGCGCTTTGCAATCAGAGTTTGCTCATGTTCAATGTTCATTGATTACTTAATGGTTATGTTCAAAAGCGCTTTGCAAAGTGAATTAACTCACATGTTACACCCAACATAACATTTGTATAAGATGCTTTCGTAGAGTAAGATTGCATTCCTTCTCGTATAAAAGTGCAATTCTTTAGCAGGCGTGACATGAGCATGTTCCACAAACAACAGTTAATCAACAAACATAGTTTAAAAAAACAAACATTTTGTACCTCAAAATTTCTGTTTACTTTTTAGTCATTTTCCAATTTTTAAATCTCAAAGAGTGTCATTTGTTAGTCAAAAAAGTACTTATGTATCGTATGTTTCCAATTGTCTGTGCAATCTCCAATGAAAACAGTTTTGCGAACTTCTTCTTTGCAAAATAACTTGAAAATGGATCAAGAAGTAAAGAGCTAAAGTGATCAAAAGAGAAAAGACTTTCTAGAAATAGACAATTATACAACCTTAATATTCTTAAAAGGTAGTTTCTTATAATAAATGAGTGCATGAATTCGAGGAATTACACAATAAAACCTTATCAAGTAGGTATCATGGTTTAAAGGTTCTTTGACATGCATGACTTAACAAATTGTATAAATTTGATTTGCTATCGGTTCTCAGTACCTACATGTTGCCGAAATGATAACAAACTATTCAAAAACTCTCCAGACAATAACACGACAAGCCAACAAAAGTTGACAAATCATTCTCCTAGATTTAGTTTAGAAATATTTATCAAATCTTAATACATGTTAGAGTGCATTGTATTGCTTATTTTGGCTATTTTGCAAGCAGTTTGACACGAAAGTATTTCACGCTTTGACACGCACGCTATTTTGCATGTCTGCTTTCAATCGAGCGACATAAATTTTACATGACTTGGTTTAAAAAAGGCGTGAAAATGGTGTAGAATGTGATGTTATTAAAGAACATATTCTGAATGTGTTCAAGATTTGCTGGCTGATGCCGTATGAGTCATCTTGACAGAAGAATCGTGAATGAACTTTAGGATCTCTACGGTGACATGTGCAAGTGACTGTGATTCGAAGGATGTCATATAAGAAACAGACCAAGACCTATGGGTACCTTGACTTAAGTTCCATATACGCTGAGCAGATCTGCATACGATTCCTTGGAAAGGACCTGTCCAATATGGGTTGAAATAAAGAGTAACGTTTACCTAAGAAAGCCCTACAACATTTTTCTTTCTCTGAAAGAATTTAAACATTTTGAAAGAGTAAAAACAGGACATAACTCTGCTTTCAGATTTCTTGTAAGAACAAAATCTTTTGAAAAAGTACTGAGCAAACTTTACTGAAAATTTGACAATGAGGCTTGCTCAAACTCCCCCATACGGAGGCGCCCCTGTTTAAACTTGCCCTATCTATGTTCCACTTCTTTCACTCTTTCTGAGATACTTAATTTCTCTGGCTAGCTGTGGCCGTTCATATGACTTTGAAAAACACAATCACCAAGCAAGCCAAATTGCAATAGTGCTTGAAGCCTTGTGCAGATATGTGTTTTTACATAGATCATGACAGCACCCTAATCAACAGTGTTTTGACCGGAGTTTCCTTTAACCAGACATTCTTTAATCCACATCACCTTAACCGAGATTGTTTAAACTAACGGTTCCTTTGACCAGGCATTCCAACATTGTTTGTACCAGCGGTTCCAATAACCAGACATTCTTTAATCCACAGCACCTTAACCGAGATTGTTTAAACTAACGGTTCCTTTGACCAGGCATTCCAACATCGTCTGTACCAGCGGTTCCAATAACCAGACATTCTGTAATCAACAGCTCCTAAACCGCTACTTAACCATCAGTCTTTTGACCGACAGTGTCTTATCCATTTCTTCCTTAACTAGACATTCCATAAAAGAATGTGCGTTGATAGATGGTTTCTTAACTTGACCCTTCTCAATTGCTTTCTGGAAAATATGTCCTTATTTATATTGCCAGTTCAATTCTTGAGGCTATGCTTTTCATCATAAGGAGTAATTGGGCTTTCAGCTCTTCTGACCTTGCCAAACTCTCCAACAAAGGACCAAATCTTGTCAGGAAATCTTGTCCAGCAAACTTCTTTCCCTCCAAGGTTGCACACTTGTCATGCTTCTGAACACCCAGCCCTAGAGAAGGTGATTTACGAAGGCACGGTAAAAATGAAAGCACGTATAATTAACAAAATACCAGAAAACACAGGTCATTGATGGGTGATTGGACACACCAAAACCAACTTAACAAACTAGCTTTCCTTTTTACTTGGCTTTGTGTGACATAGCAAAGCTTAAATGGCCCAAACTATTACGAGCTTAGTACGACAGAGGATGCTTTCAGGGAAGCATTTCAGTGGAATGGTGAGTTTCCACAGCCCAAGAATTTAAAAAGTGAACAACACATCTGCCAAGAGAGTAAATGACCGAATCATATCAATGACGAGCAAAGTAGGACCAAGGCAAAGTGATAGGAATCATTTGTGGAATTTTACACTTATGATTTTTATTTTGCAAGCATGAAAATTGTACATTTGCGCTGCTGCCGAGATAATTTGTGTTCGATATGGAATGGAATCAAATATGATGTTAAATTGCATCATTTAGGCTTATTAGAACTCCAAAGTAATGATTAAGCAGCAATGAGGAAAAGCCTTATGTTGATATCTTTCCATTCACATTGACCAGAACCTTTAAAAAATCTACATACTTTTATTGTTTGTAAAGATGGTTACCTTTACAAAGTAATTCGTTAAGAAACGTAGTTATCTTTGTATGCGATGCGAATCCCAACCGTCAAATGCAGTAAAGAATGCCACTGAGCCTTAGCGAAGGAGATGCCAAACAATGTTCTGTCCCACGTAAGCAAGTCTAAATTTACATTGTTCGACTTTGAATCTATGGGCTGCAATGGTTCATCTATGAATAATTATTAATAACAATTATGGATTAAATATTTGCAATCTTC